GTCTTATTAAAGGTTAGATATATCATAAAGTATTAAATATAGACTAATTATAAAACTAATTGCACAGTTTGTAACTAATTTGTGAGACGAATCTTTTAAGGCTAATTAGGTTATGGTTTGACGATGTAGTGCTACAGTAAACATTTGCTAATAACAGATTAATTAGCTTAATAAATTCGTCTCGTGGAGTACCGACGAATTCTGTAATTTGTTTTTTTATTAGTATCAAACACCTCATGCGATACCTTCACGTGACGCCTCCTAAATTTAGTCACCGGATCCCAACATCCCTTAAAAGCAAAGCCATTTTATGGATAGGCCCTCCGATTACTTCCATGGCATGTCTGAGTCCTTGGCTGGAGATTGCAAGAACAGAAAAAAATAATATGTAGTTTTGGATGGATGCCGTCTCTTTGCTCTCCACATCTCCTCTCCTCATCTCCTTTTCGTCTGACAGATCACAGATAATCAGCCTGTTTGAAAGGCCATATTGTATCGTGGATTATTTACTTCTGGTTGGTTTGGTGTGAGAGAAAAACACGGTTCACAACTGAAAATTTACGATGATTTACGAGGAAGCGAACAGGATGAATAGTTGTTCGGGTCTGTCTTGCTTTGGAGCCTCGCATAGGAGTATCCTTCAGGAATCAAGGATGGAAGAAGAGAACAGTCAGTGGCAACGCTGATGTTCGTAGGAAATGTGGTGCAGGCATTTATGACCTGGCAAGAAGAGAACTATTCTTTCTTGTACTGCATTTGTCCTCGCAATTGCTAATTGTAAACTGTGACGCTGAGCAGAACATGGAGGTCGCTGTACATGTAATTTTCGCTAGAAAAAAATTAGTTCTGGTATCAGACCGCAAAAATTCATAAGTACGCTGCCACATGGTGTGAGCACTTCATATCCAAGGTTAAGGCATCATGACCTGTTGTGCCATGACCAAAATGGAGGAATTCAGATTTCAAAGCAGGAAAAAGAGGCACAGAAATAAACTGAGGAGATGACTTAGTTATTGCAGGACATGATGGTACACAGTCGTGGAAAAAGAATAAGCTTCTGCTTCTCTTTTTTTTCTATATACGAGTAAGCTTTTCAGTTTAACCGCCTCTCACTTTTTCAGCTTTAGATTCGTAGATACAGATAACTTTCTGTTATTCACCGGCTGTGAAAGAGGAAAAAACGTTCCTTTCTATGCGAAACCGCCTCTGCACAGCAGATGTGCCCAAAACTCTATTCCTGCACTTCTAGATTTCGGTAGTCATGCATCCTTTTCAAAAAAAAAAAAAGGATTTTCCTTAGTGATGCATCTCCGGGAACGGGAAAACTTGTTTCCTGTGGTCTTAAACCACTAGCACTAGCCGAAAGATGGTGATTGTATTGTAGGTATTCTTCAAAAGTTCAAAGTAATCTAATCCGAGGATTACATCAGTAGTTGTTGCAGTGAACCACCCTCCAATGATGCAAGCAAGCCTGGAGTACATGTATGTATATATGTATTCCTTACTGAATGGGATTTTGGACACTTTCTCGATCTCTTGCTCTTTTCTCTGGATGGGGAGGTAGTAGGTGTGCTGTGCCCTCATGCTCATGCATGTGTGTGATCATGCACACATGCTCTGGACCAAAGCAAAGACCAGACGTGGAAGATGCATGATGACCCAAACTCAAGACTGGCGACTGATGAGTGGGTGGGTTCATACTTTCATGTTTTTCTTTTTGTCATCCTGCCCGTGGAATCTTTGAACACGGGGATCCATGCCAATGCCAAGGAAACTTCTTCCCAAGTAGGCCTACTGATCATTGGTACGGTGTCCACACACAAAAAAAAGAGGGTCATTATTTGGTTTAAAGAGAAAGACATATATCCATAGGGACAAAACATTTGTCACATCTAGATCTTCGTCTTCAGTTATTATTATTATTATTATTATTATTATTATTATTATTATTATTATTATTATTATTATTATTATTATTATTATTATTATTATTATTATTATTATTATTATTATTATTATTATTATTATTATTATTATTATTATTATTATTATTTATTATTATTATTATATATATATATATATATATATATATATACTCTGTAACTGACTACAAAATAACTTATTTTGTAGTCACTTTGAGTTACGATAATTACTATCTTAATTTACAAGATTATAATAACTCCTTACTAAGTGGTTTACTATAACGTTACGGTAAATATCCCCATATATTATAGTAACCCAACTATCGTAAATATGTATTGACATTATCGTAAATTAGTATATAAAATTATCGTAAATAGAAGTGGCCGTACAATAACTTATTTTATAGCTGGCTACTGAATATACTCTCCCTATATATATATATATATACACACACATGTCTCACCTATAAGAGCAGGTACAGTAATCCACGGTGGACTTGTTTCATAGCCTTGTTTAGTTCTCCAAAAGTGCACTATGCAAAAAGAGATCCCGTCATCTCAAACTTACGGTATATGTATGAAATATTAAATGTAGACGAAATCAAAAACTAATTATATAATTTGTTTTAACTTTACGAGACGAATCTTTTGAACCTAATTAATTAATGTAAAAGTTTGCTGCCGAACTAAACGCGCCGATAGCTAAACTACGTCAGCGAATGTTTACGTGGACGAGGGAGAAACGAGGAGAGAGAAATTGCTTGTGGCAAGTTTCAACACCGAGCGCTAGCACAGTTCCCTGTGCTTTGTGGGACCCTCCACCACCCGTGCTCCATTGACTCTCTCTATGACTTCGAGATGAGCTGGCTTCGACACGCGGCAGGCTGTCACTCGTACGGTTCATCGGCTGCTCCTATGGCATGTCGCAGGCCCCTGCCCCTGGCGAGCACGAGGGAGCGAGGTCGGAGAAAGGGTGGCGGCGGTGAGCTCGGGCGACGACTTACACGGGGAGTGTATGATATGCTTAAGTTTCATGCCTGTTATCATGAAGACTGGGCAGCAAGAGCTGAATATAGCTGTCATCTCATTCTATCTCTCAAATTTCGGCAAGATAGATGGAGGCTATGCGTGATTTAAAAAAAATATAATATAAGCATCCGCACTAGTATAGTTTAATCATAATCAGGCTAGGGTGTTGCTGGTATGCATGTTCCAGCAGGATCTGTGTGCTTCCCAGATGCACATTTTTCAATTGCTGCTTTGATACGACGAATAGGATACTGGGGCAATCTGGCAAACAGTTGTTGGTCACCACCATCATGGCTTATGCATGACTTTCTCGTGTTCGGCGGCTGGGTTTCAGCTGTTGCGGCTGGCTGGCCCTAGCTGTCGGCTACAGTAATTTGTGAGGGGAGCAGCCAGCCCAGCCGCCAGCCGGCAGCAGCTGCCCAGCCGAACGGAGGAACTATATGCGGACTAAATCAATCCGACATGGACTTGTTTGAATGTATTTAATCCAGTGTCAGTAGTTCAATAAAAAAGAGGCACACAATTCCAGCAAGATGAGAACTTTTGATGCCATCAGCGTCCAGCATCAGGCTGAAAACGACGTCTTTTATTTTTCATAAACAAAAAAATAAAACTCACCTTGTCTTTGATACTTTTCGCTTATAGTCTTTGAAATCTAATTTTGACTAGTACTTTTTATTAATGTAACAGACCAAATAGTTCTAAACATGTCATAAATCATACATGTGCGTCATCCTTGCATTAACAAAAAATTAAGCTTGTTTTGAATGCTTTTGAATTTAATTTCAAATTAAAGCGTTATTTTTTTATGTGCTTGTGAAGAAATTTTGGATTTTATCATAGCAAGTATCTAGACCCGAGGAAAAGTTGGACCGGACCTGGAAAAAGCCCGACTGATTTTAGGGCCTAGAATATGTGCTCAAACCCACCCAATAGGTTTGGTTAGCCTTTTTATATCCTTCGTTATTGATAGAAATAAATTTTTTGGTGGGCAAAAATGTCCTTAGGCTTTACATCTTGGACAGTAATCTTTGCCGAGTAATGTTTTTAGGGCCTGTTTGGAACGCAGGAATTTCACAGGAATTGCGCAGGAATTTCATAGGAATCAGTTCATTTTCACAGGAAAAAGTATAGGAACGGGGAAAAATCCTGCATTCCAAACAGGGCCTTAGTTGTCCTATATCTCTAGCGTATATTGATTAGAGAAAGTTTAGTATGGTGGGAGAAATTATAAGTCGACTCTGTCGGATCTTTCAAAAAAAAAAAAAAAAAAGGACTTGAAACACTCCTGTCATGTTCATCATCGGTAGAACTGCTCCCTGGACCGGATCACCACACCCACGCCTTGGTGGCTTGGTGGGAGTGTAGAGCGAGTCTGTATGCACGGTGTGGACTGGACTTCTCATAACGCCAGCCTAACCTACTCCCTGTTGCCGCAATTTCAATCTTCAAAATTTCTGTGACACCACACCCCATGGACGTGGGTACAAGTATCTGCGTGTACCACCGCTGTTTCATCCCAAGCTCTGGCCTCAGTGTCTATCAGATGCATGGTGCACCCATCACAGATGACAAGTGACCATGCATCTCTCCGACGCTGCACACGCCGACGAAAAGAATTCGAAGGGAAGCATTCAAGCTATACTTGAAGAAATCGTGACCGTCGACGAAGAAGAAGAGCCCTAAAGACAACTCACTGCTGCTCCAAGCAGAAGAAAACGATATGTTGATGAATGTGTGTGTAGCCGGATTTTAGTTGAAGCGTCGTCAAGTATTCATGACCATTGACCCAAGCGAATATCATAATTATTTTGCTTGCAAAAATTAGCCGCCCAAATAGTAAAACTACTTTATAATTTGCTATAAAAAAAATACAACTTGTGGTAAAGTAAAGTGCTACTCCATGCGACGACAAATGCATGTGTCCAAGCTGCGGTCAAATCACGAATCCAAAAGATGCTTCTGTTCTGTTCATCGCTGTATAAAAAAAATGCTCATCTGAATCTGAACTTCTGAAGGAAGCAAGAAACCCGCCGTCAGAGGAAGGAGATGGCCGAGCCCCTCTCCAATGGCGCCGTCTACCAGTCGGTTCCTGAGTCCTACGTGCTCCCGGAGCACAAGAGGCCCGGGAGATCGCCGCCGTCTTCCGCAGCGGCGATACCTGTAGTCGACCTCGGCGGCGATGACCCCGACAGGATGGCGGAGCAGATCGTCGCCGCCGGGAGAGAGTTTGGTTTCTTCCAGGTGAGAAATTCTTCAGTTGCTCGTCCTCACTCGCTCGTCAGTCCTGGAGCTGAGCTGTCTCTGCTCAGAAGCTTCTCAATCCAGCTGAACTGAGACCTTGGGCGCTGTCTGTGACTGACGTACAGGTGATCAACCACGGCGTGCCGGAGGACGTGATGGGCGCCATGATGAGGGCGGCGGAGGAGTTCTTCAAGCTCCCGACGGAGGAGAAGATGGTGCACTACTCCACCGACAGCACGAAGCTGCCGCGGTTCCACACGAGCGTCGGCAAGGAGCAGGAGCAGCTCCTGTACTGGAGGGACTGCCTGAAAATCGGCTGCTACCCGTTCGAGGAGTTCAGGCACCAGTGGCCCGAGAAGCCAGCCGGGCTCGCGGCGGCGCTGGAGCCGTACACGGCGGCGGTCAGGGGCGTGGCGCTGCGCGTGCTGCGGCTCGCCGCGTCGGGGATGGGGCTCGCCGACGAGGCGCACTTCGAGGCCGGCGGGGAGCTCACCGCGGGGCCGGTGATCATGAACGTGAACCACTACGTGGCGTGCCCGGACCCGAGCCTCACGCTGGGCATCGCGCCGCACTGCGACCCCAACGTCGTCACCGTCCTCATGGACAACGGCGTCCGCGGCCTGTAGGCGCGCCGGTGGCACGGGCACGGGCACCAAGGCGAAGGGGAAGGGTGGGTCGACGTGGACCCCCCGCCCGGCGCGCTCGTCGTCAACTTCGGGCACCAGATGGAGGTGGTCACCAACGGGCGCGTGCGCGCCGGCGAGCACCGCGCGGTGACCAACGCGCGCGCCCCGCGCACGTCGGTAGCCGCGTTCGTCATGCCCGCGATGGGCTGCGTCGTGTCGCCGGCGCCCGGGATGGTGGCGGAGGGAGAGGCGCCCCTGTTGAGGCCCTACACGTACCAGGAGTTCGTCGGCGTGTACACCGCGGCCAACGGCGACAGAGACGCCGTCCTGGCGCGGTTACGGAACCACAATGGCTGACTGACTGCTCGTCGCCGCCTTCTCTCTCCCCCCTTCCGTATTAGTGATCTGGCCGGTGGGTGTCAACTGTAAAGCGAGAAAAATCTGTCATTATCTACGTCGCGTTAGATCGATGCGGTACAACGCAACGTTGTTCCGACGCGCCACCGTACTATGTTTGTTGGTGGAAGAAGTACCGTGGACTGATTGGTCGTGAGAAAAAACTACTATTTACTATTTGTTGACCGAAAAAATACAGAAAAACTACTATTTGTTGATTGAAAAAGTACGATTTATAAGCCAAGCGAATAGGACACATGTCGCGGCTGGACCACTGTTTGGTTAACAGCCCCCGCCAGCCACTGATGTTGTGGCGGCGCCGAAGACCGTGACGCACAAGATGGCCGCCACGCGATTGTGGCGCAAATTTCAGGGTTTTTTTTATTGGTGCCGTTACAATTCCTGTCGATCGGAAAAACACCATTACTATTCACCTATTCGGAGATGAGCTATTATAATTCTTCGGTTGTCTGAAAAATGCCATTATATACGCTTTGGACATGGTTGGACCCATTTGTAGATCACTGTATTCCTGTATTGCCTAAAACGCCCCTCTGCCCTCCACTCTCTCCCTGTCACCGACGGCTAGGGCTCGCCGACGAGGCACACTTCGAGGCCGGCGGCGCAAGCGAGCTGCGGCAGTGGATTTCACAGTCGGGCAACAAAAAAAATCGATCCAAACGAATAGACTTCTGGAGACTCTACTACATATTCTAGCAATCCAAAGCCATGATTCAGTTATGTCCTCTCTACTATGAGCTTCTAGGTGGATTCTAGTGCGGTGAACGACGATTTTGTCCCTGCTCGAACGAAAAAAGTTAAAGGATTGAATGGCATTTTAGACACTTGGCTTGTGAAATGAATCCACTCTCCAGAGTATAATCCAGATATCAAACATGTTGGGAGCCGTTTGGTAGTACTCGCTGGAGCAAATTCTCCGTGAGAATCAACCAAACAACAAGATCCTAAGAATTAGAGAGTGGACCTCTAGCAGACATGCACTTAGATCATTACTATCCGGAGTCCAGATTTCTCGTAGTTAGGCCCTGTTTAGATCCCACCCAAAATCCAAAATTTCTCAAGATTCTCCGTCACATCGAATCTTGCGGCACATGCATGGAGCATTAATGGGGTGTTTGGGACTGCTCCACAAACTCTGCTCCACAAACTCTACTATGGAGCAGCTCCATAAAAAACTGGAGTTTGTGGAGTACCTCTTTAGGTGCTCTCACAACTCCATCATTTTTCCTCGAACAGAGTGCGTGGAGCTGAAACTGTTTGGCTAAAAAACATAGAGCAGAGCCGAAAAACGTGGAGCGGAGCAGTCCCAAACACCCCCTAAATGTAGGTAAAAAGAATAACTAATTGCACAGTTTGTTCGTAATTGGCGAGACGAATCTTTTAAGCCTAAATAGTCTATAATTGGATAATTTTTGTCAAATACAAACAAAAGTACTACAGTGTCCATTTTCCAAACTGGAAGGGATCTAAACAGTCCCTTATTTGATGGTGCAAATGGACCCTAATTAATTAATCATCATGTGATTTGGTGTGCAAAGTGACATCAACACGTCAGAGGGGAGAGGAGGACATGTTGACCATTATCTCTCCATCATCAATCTACTCTCATCTTCCAGCGTCCCATCGTACGTACGGATCTTCTTTTTTTATTTAATCTCCTTTTATATATTCTCTCCGTCTCAAAATAATTATCGTTCTCGTTTCCCGATGAATAACTTTAACTAATTTTATATAAAAAAATATTAATACTTATGGTACAAAGTTAATATCATTAGATAGATCGTTGAATCTATTTTTATAATAAATTTATTTGAAGATACAAATGTTACATATATTTTTTTATAAATTTAATCAAACTTATGATAGAAAAATGATAGATAATTTGGGACGGATAGAGTACATGCACTGTGATTGTTGATTATGATCTTGTTAAATAGAGACAAGGGCAGTATTATATACGTAGTATGAGGGTTGTGCGTATTATTATTGGGCTCCATTGGTTGGCTTTATATGTTATTTTTGTGCATATTTTCAGAGCCACTTTTGCAGGGATTTTCATGTGGCTTCTCCACCGGCTTAATTAGAAGAAGAAAGTTAGGAACGGTGAAGCTGAAGCTATTTTGGAGGCGGAAGCTCAAGCCACGAAAACATAGTTTTCCTGATTTTTCTCTTTTTAAACAAGTCTAAGCTCTACCAAAGAGGGTTTTATAGTGCTTATTAAAACAGCTCCAGTCCAATACAGTGCTTGGGAAACCGCCAAACGGACAGACACGTCTGACGTCCCTAAAGAAAGGAAGAAAGCATCCGAGGCTAAAAGCGGACAGACACGTTATAAGTCGTCCCTAAAGAGTTAGGTGATTAGAAAGCATCCGAATTATATATTTTGTTGTAGATGGTTAATCTCATTAAAAGCGCAGGTTACACGTTAATCGCAAAACTTATCCGCAGGCCGCAGACAAAATAAGTGTTTGATAAAATAAATCATTTTTTTCACTTTTTAACTTATAAGTAGGTGACTTATTTAGAACAAACAGGCCCTTGATCGTAGCGCAGGTTACACGTTAATCGCAAACATCCGCAGGCCGCAGTGGTAGAGAGAGCAGAGCTAGCGTGTGAGGGCCGCAGCCGGACCAGAAGTCTCGCCGGGGACACCGCATGCACCGGCGTCGCTGTCTGTCTCTGTCTCCTCCGTCTCCGATCCGTCCATAGGTGAGGTGACCCAGCACGCACGCCAACGCCAACGCCAACGCCAAGCCATTGCCGTTGCAGTGCAGGCAAGCCAGAACGGGCGACGCCACGACACGCCGGTACGCACACCACACGCACTTTGGTCGTCATCGTCTCCGATCATCGCCTTGGGCCTCGTTTAGGCGACGCCACGACATATTAAATTTTGAACACATATACACCACGCAAAATAACTAATTATACATTTGATTGTTTGGTCGTCATTAGACAATAATTATCAAATCAAATGAAAATCTCCGATCATTCGCCCGATGGATCGAATTCTTGGATTGAATTCGATTGCACTCTGCTCCTGCGTCTGCGTCCTTCTAGAAGACCACCATGCTTGTCACCGCGCGTTTTTTTTCCAACCTCACCATTCCCTTCTTCCCGCCTACCTTCCCACGACCCTACGCTACATTAACATATGGCAGCAGCAGGTCAGTGACAGTCAGCTCTCAGCTGCAGAGCAGAGGAACTCCCCTCACGGCCTCTCCACCGCTTCACTGTTCACTCTGCTAGCTGCCCTGCCTGGCTGCCGCCGATGGACGCGAGCCGGGGCAGCAGCAGCGCCATCTTCCCGATGCCGCAGATCCCCCCGCTGCTCTTCGCCTCGCCACCGGCGGCGGCATTGCCATCTTCTTCCCTCTCTCTTTCCTCCTATTCCTCCTCCTTGCGCGGCCACGCGCCGTTCATCACCAGCTTCCCCATCCTCGTGCTCACGGTGCTGGGCATCCTCGCCGCCTCCGTCCTCCTCCTCGCCTACTACGTCTTCGTCATCCGCTGCTGCCTCACCTGGCACCGCGGCTCCTCCGACGTCGCCGGCCCCATCGTCTCCCGCCGCGGACTCCGCCCCCAACGCACCGGCACCACCGCGCCCGCCGACGCCGGCGCCGAGCCGCGCGGCCTCGAGGACGCCGCCATCCGGGCGCTGCCGGCGTTCAGCTACAGGAAGAAGCCCGCCAATGCCGCGGCGGCCGCCGACGAGTCGTCCGCTCCCGCGAGCGAGTGCGCGGTGTGCCTCGGCGAGTTCGAGGAGGGCGACAGGGTCAGGATGCTGCCCGCCTGCCTCCACGTCTTCCACCTCGGCTGCGTCGACGCCTGGCTCCAGGGCAACGCCAGCTGCCCGCTCTGCAGGGCCAGTGCGGACGTCGCCGCCACCCTCTGCCGCCTGCCCCCGCTGCCGCCCGAGGAGGAGGTGGTGGTGACCATCCAGGTCGTCGTCCCCGGCGGCGCTGAGGAAGACGGCCAAGACGCGCGGGAACAGGGGCAGCGAGAAGCCATCGTGCCACCCGCTGCCGAGTTTGAAGGAGAAGACACCTGTACAGATCGTCAGGTCAGTGGTGAGAAAACGAAGAGCACCATCGATGGCATGACGGAGAGGAGGAAGGATGGAGAGGTTCTTCCACCGAGGACGAGGACGTCCTTCTCCAGGGACGGAGACGCAATGGCTGGTGGTGGGGAGGTTCACCTGCAGATTCGGGAGAGCATCTTGCAGAGGGACAGTCACTCCCGTACACATGATCATGACAGCGACAGCAGCGGCGGCGGTCGAGTGCAGTGTAGGCAATTGGATCAGCATTCTTCTTTTCTTTGCTGAAAAACGTGATTTCAAGGGGGCGTCGTGTACGGAAGACTTTTCTTCTATCATCTCTTCTTTTCCACTTTTTACTTCTTTTTTTTTTTTTTTTGACAAATTTCCACTTTTTACTATAGCAATATATATGCAGGATATTGGTCCCATCCCTATTGAGAGAGAGATGGACAAAGTTTTTTTTTTATTGAAAGGTAAAGTATTTTCACTAGGAGTACTTACAAGAAGAATGCATAATCTTCTTGACAGGAGTAAAGACAAGAGTTCAGAATACTAGATTGCCCTGTTTTGCGAGCTTGTTCGGACGTCCTAACTCCTAAGATGACAACCTGCTCGTATTATGCTAATGAAAGTTTTATATCAATTGCTTTAGTGAATTTAAGTGAAAAGTTCAAAACTAAAATATTATAGATCTTGCCAAGAGCTGCAATGTCCATTTGAATTTCAGTATGAAATAGTATGTTTTCCCTAAGGTAACAAACCCCTGATGCTTAGGCCCTGTTTGGTTGAGCTGTGGTTGTGGAAAAAAGTTGCTGTGGGCTATGAGCTGTGGAAAAGCTGCTATGGGCTGTGAGCTGTAGAAAAGCTGAAAGCTGTTTGGTTAAACAAGTATAAAATATACCTTTTATCTTTATCTCTCTTGAAGCAACTATGAAAGAGCTTTTTATTCCACCAATTTCGAAAAGCAGAAAGCCAAAAGCGGTCAAACCAAATTTTCAAAAATGAACTACTTAAAAAAAATGCCGCTACAAAAAGCACTCAAAGCAGTCCTTTTGGTTGGGCTTTTTTGCTTTTTTGAAAAAAAGCCAAAAGCCAAAAGCCCAACCAAACAGGGCCTTAATATATTGCTAAAAGCTTGTATCAAATTTTTAAGGATCTTAACGCCTGCAAATGAACAAAAAAAATACTCAACTACAAAATTGTTGATCTCATTGAGGGCTACAATTTTCATATAAAAATCAACTTTTGACTTCTGCATACTTCTCAAACAATACGATATAGAGTGGTACACTGCTGTTATTCATGACTTGCCCATGTAATCTGATTGCAACTCCCAACCAACACGTCTTATGTGTCTAACGCAAGCTCCATGCTTTTGTAGGCACACTAGCACAATCCAGTGTGGCGGCGTGGCGCTGCCTTGCGGTGCCTGTTATTCTAAGTATTGACCAAAACTCCGTACCTCTAAATGTCTCACCAAATACTCTAGTTCATAAAAAAAGGGCATGCGGACATTTCTGTTTTGAATACATCATAGCTTGACTGATCAGGTCTTTCCTTGCTGCAGGAGCTGGCAGTTCACCAGCCATTGATTTTCGGATATCCAAAATATCTGTAATACTACATGTAAGAACTAACAAGAAAACCCAAATCCTTCAACCAAATATTTGCAGAGGCTACCGTTGCACAGCTTTGGCAGTATCTGAATCTGTTTCCTGCTCCTGAGGTTCAGGCAATGCGTTTGCTGAACCTCCAGGTGATAGGCATGCAAGCGCCTTTGCCTTGATCTGGTTGTAGAGTCGCAAAGCTTCCTTGAGCTCATCCCTAGCGTCGGCGCCATGATTTCGCCATGAATCCACCACTCTCTTTTGGAACTCCATAGCCAGGGGATAGCTGCAGATGCAGAAACATGAGGAGGTCCATACTGATCAGTTCGAAGTTGGAATACAAAGCAGCTTCTATTCCTAAAGTAAAAACAGAACTTAACATCTTATGCCCAGTGGGGGAGCTTGATCTTAAATCTAGGGGGTTGGGGGGTTACTGCACCCCAGCTTACAGCTGTTTTTTTTTAAGTAGTAGAGTTGGTTATTTTGAAGGTTGCTTAGGCATGCCACATGTTGGCCTGAACACAGCTCCTCCCCTGCTTACAGCATGTCTGAACTATCTCCACTATGTGCTTAGAAAATTAACATCAATCATCCAGTCAGCCACTATGCTGCCTAATAGCATGTGAATTATCTTAGCATCTCTTTTTTTTTTTTTGGTCTGGCTATGTTTGAGTTGAAGCTAACAAAAATCACGCTCAAGATAGATTCAAGAGGGAAGGAAAGAAAACTCATTGTAATGCATTTGTGAAACTATACCTTCCCATAGCATCGTAGGCCTTAGCAAGGCTCTGACAAGCCTCGATGGTATCTGAATGGTGATGTCCTAAGGAGACATCCATGACTTCTTTAGCGAGCGCAAACATTTGAGCAGCGGACTGTGGTCGGTCCATCTCCATGTAAGCAGCACCCAAGTTGTTATATACATACCCTACTCCGTAGTGCTTCGGACCAAAGCTGTCCTTCATCCTCTCCACTGCATCCTCCAAGTATGGGACAGCTTCAGTGACCTTACCGGTCAAGAGCAAAAGCCACCCAATCCTCGCTGCGACATTGCCCTCCAAATGCTGTGCCTGAGGGATCCTCTCAAGCATTCCCAGGCTCCTCTTCAGCAAAGATATTGCCTTTCCAAACTCATTCACCATCTCATACAGTGAGGATACCTCTATATACATCTCTGCCACTTTGTCAGCTGTGGCAAATTGCTTCTTCTCCAGGATGTCACAAGCAATCTCCAAGCACCTCTTTGTGTCCCCAACCTTCTCCTGGTTAGCGAGCGCCTTTGCCATCGATATGAAAACTAGAGCTCGCATCTCGCTATCCTTCTCCACCTGCTTAGCGACATTCTTCAACACATTGACAGCCTCATCAAACTTGCCCAATGCGATCTTGATGTTTGCCGCGTCGATCTCAGCGTGCAGGAGGTCAGGACCAGCCGCGCCCCAGCTCTTCATCACCTTCTGCGAAATCTCATTCTGCTCCAGCGCCTGCTCATGCTGCTCTAGCCCAGTGTATATCACCCCAAGCAGGCGCCTGTCGTGCGCAACCTCCACGGAGTTCTTGCCGAGCGTCGACCCATGCAGCTCCAGCGCCTTCTGGCAGAACGGCAGCGCCTCCTTGAAGTCAAGCAGGGTGGCGTACGCCTCCGCGAGGTCCCGGTACGCGACTCCCAGCTCCCGGCTGCCCGGCGGCAGAATGGATTCCTTGAGGTCGAGGCAGGCGCGCATGTCGGCGAGCGCCTCCTCCCGCCTCCCCAGCGCCGTCTTCACGTTGGCCAGCTGCAGCCGCACCGCGTGCGCCACGGGCCTGACGTCGAACCCTCCCGGTTCCTCTCCAGCCCCGAACGCGACGCCTCCATCGGGGAGGAGAGGAGCGAGGAGGCGTAGCGCGCGGGAGAGGATGGAGAGCGCGTCGTGGAAGCGGGAGAGGTCGAAGGAGGCGGAACCCGCGAGGTGTAGTGCCATGGCGAGCGAGACGGCGTCTGAGGCGGAGGCAGAGGCGGGGGTGGCGGCGTTGGGGCTGGCCTCGAGGATGCCCAGGCATCGGAGCGCGAGCGCGAGGACGCGGGACGCGTCGGCGGAGCCGGACGCCTCGAGGTGCTGACCGAGCTTGAGGCAGGCGAGGGCGAGGCGCTTGTCGTTGGCGGGCACGGCGGCCTCGAGGCGGGAGAACGCCGCGAGCATGTCGTTCGTTGACCTCGCCGCCTCGAACGCCTCCTCCGCGGCCTCCGCGACAGCAGCAGCGGCGGCCCCGGCGGTGGCGGGGACGGGAGGCGGCGGCCGCGGCGAGAAGTGTCGGCGCGGCGGCGCGAGGAGAGGGTTTATTAGGGCTTTGCGCGAGGGGGACGTGAAGGGGCCCCGCAGGCGGGTCCTGAGGAGAACGGCGGCGGCGCGGCATAGCGCCATGGTGGGCGATGGAGCGGTTGCTAGCTCGCGGCGGCGGCGGCCGGCGGTGAGGGCGAAGAGGGAGGAATTTGCGCGATGGGCTGGGCTTTCTCCCCTTAGCAGTAAGTAGCTGAGCTCATTAGATACTGTCTGGGCCGTACACTGGGCTGGGCTGGGCTGAGAAACATGTGCCACCAACCGAGGGCATATGGACCACCGAAAACTGAAGAATTAGGCCTCTTTTTGTTTCGCCATCTCTTTTCGCGACCCATCGCGCTCGGAGCTGAGCACGCAACCACGCAGCCCAAAGCCCATTACCGGCGGTGATGGATGATTCAATCATCGGCGTTAGGGTTTGGGGCTGGGGATCTGCTCACGGTGGCCTTGGAAGTAGGTTTTGGGGGGCGGCGCTCCTGACATGGCGGTGGAGTGGGCGAGACGGGGGTAGGGCAGGTCTCCTCCCTGTTGGGAGGGGTTGACAACGAGGGCGTCGCGATGGAGCTTGTCAGCAAGCTACCCTGTGTTTAGGGGAGGGTGAGGGCGAGAGGTGGGTGGCGCGGCGAGGCGGGGGAGCTGGCGTCGATGATGGAAGCCGGTGGCGGGGCGCGGGACGAGGACGACACCAGCGGAGCTCGGTTAGGGGAGCGTGGGTTCGAGGGGCGGGAGCTGGAGGTGGATGGCGTGGTGAGGCAAGAGGTTGCCTGCCATGTGTACCAATTGACTTGGTTTTGTCTCCGGCTAAAAAAAATATATAACGATAATGATCTCGTCCCAAATCAAACATGGACATAGGACCATCCTATCCCAGAGAATTGAAATAATTCTCAAAAAAGAAATAGACTTGTCTCGTCACTCTTTGTCCTCAAACCAAAGACGCAATCTAGTAGGGAGCCCAAGTTTCCATCTCAAATAAAAAAGAAAACCCTATACTAATTTTGTTGACTATTCAGTCAAATGTTGTGTTGAAACGCCCTGCCACACTCGACATCTCCATTGTACATACTGCCTACAGGATCAATTTATTTTTCAAGAAAAAAATCACAGAAACATAAATGAAAATGTTCCCGTTCCAAAAAAGAGAGCCTAATCGTCTAAGGAAGGTCCGCAGCCAAAAAAAAAGGAAAAGGAAAAAGAAAAAGAAAAAAAAAGAAGAAGAAAAGTCGTCTCCTCCACCAGCCGTAGAGGCACAGGCAAGAAGGATCGGAACAGCCCCATGGTCTAATGGATGTACGGCTGTGGCCGCACCAGCAAAAGGCAACTATGCAAAGCTAAGAAACGAGCCTTTTAAAAGCTAAGAAACGAGCCTTTTACGTGTGTCTTTATGAAAGGTGTTTTAGACTTACGCGTCATTAAAAAGTTCAAACGTAGTACTCTGATGCTATAATTTTTTTTTTTTTCCAAACCATTCTGTCCACCGTTTTGTCGTTTGCCAGCCCTGATACGTGAGCCCAGCAGTAAAAATGTCTAAAATGCTCTTCTCTTGTTACCTCATCCTCTACCTTTTTTCTCTCTTCGTCGGGTGGGGCCGAGCTGTCAGCGACTACAACACCTTCCTCCTCAACAAGAGCAGCGCGAGCTGAGGCAGGGCGTGTGAACGCCGCAAGCCGCCACCACCGGCTGCGGCGCCGGGGCTGAGGTCATCACCAAAACTGTCACCTCTGAAGGAGCATGGGACAACGACGTGGACAGGGATGGCGCCGAGGGTGGCCGGGGCAGAGCTCGCGTGCGCCGGTCGCAGTGGCCGTGGCGGAGTTCGCCCGCGCGCCGCCCGCGATGGCCAGGGCGGAGCTCGCCCGCGCGCCTCCTGCCGAGCCCGCTGCTTCCTGTGCGGCCGTCCGAGCCCACCCCTGCCCTACGGTCCCCGCACGGCCAAGCACCGCCGGTCGCCGGAACCTTCTGTGCGCCATCGGTCCAGCGAGCCTCGGAGGTGGGCGAGATCTGGGGGCCAGCCCTTCCGTTGGTGGAGTCACGGGGCCCTGCCGTCGATGGAGCCGGTGGAGTCGCTGGGTGCCGTCGGTCGGCGCGCCGGCGATGGAGGCTCAAGGCAGCGAGCGGCTAGGCTCCGCCCGACCCTGACGCCCCCCGCCCCGGCCCACGCGCCGTCCTTCGCCGTGCTCAGCGGCCGTGCACTGCGCGGGGGACGCAGCCTTCCTCTGCGCCGCCTGTGAGAATGGCGTACGCGTACTTCCTCGTGTTGCGGCATCGCCACACGCACCTCCTCCTCGTGGCCGCTGGAGCGCCAGCACCGGCGCCGGACGAGGACGGGTACGGGTCCGCGGCGAGCTCCTGCGTGTCCACTGCCAACTCGGCGGCGTCCATGGCTCCGCGGTGGAGGCGCGGGGCCGGGTGACCAAGTCTGAGGCTGGGCATGCGTGCCGAGGCGATGCTCGAGGTGTGGGCCAAGCGGACGGGCCTCACGACGGGGTCGGCGGCGTGCCGGTGCTCTGGGTATGCACCCATGGTCGCCGCGCTGTGGCAGGAGGTGGTGGGGCCCGGTGGTGGGATCGGCAGCGGCGGCGGTCACGGAGAGGCGCTGTGACGGCTGGAGGTGTGAGCGTACGTGCCTGCCAGGATCTCCACCAGAAAGCTGCGAAAGGTCAAGCACCCTTCTCCGTCCCTGCACAGAAGTGGACGCGCTCCGTCCATCTCCATCTCTGCCTGTGACGCTGCTCTCTCTCTCCTCTCCCTGTTGCGCGACGGGTGGCGGCGTGGTCGTGGCGGCCTCGCTCGCTCGCTCGTCCGGGCTGGTGGGAGAATGCAGCTTGGAGGAAGGAGGAAGACGACCGGCGAAGGAATCGAAGAAGGGCATGGTGAAGAAGCGAGATGAGGGCATTTGAGACTTTTTCCAATGCAGCCGTTAGTTGGAAAAGTGGATGGAATGGCTTGAGAGGCAAAAAAAAAAATATCATGTCATCATGGTACGTTTGAACTTTTTAGTGGCATGTAGTCTTGAAGTATATTTCATAATGGCACTCAGGTAAAAGGCTCTTCCAACAATCTGAACTAGACGACCCCTGCACCCAGCGGCGGATCTGTCAAGGGGGCTGGGGGGGGCTCCCCCCCCCCCCCCCCCCTAAATTTTTCTATCATTGGAGGATGGAAAGGAGGAGCTTGAGTGTTGAACTGAGGTTGAAGATGATGCTGGAGCGTTGAGCTGAGCTTGAAACCTTTGTCCCCCGTGTGAACTTAAAAACCCCCTAGATTTTCATCCTAGATCCGCCACTACCTGCACCTCCACTCCAATCTCAACAACACAAGGGATTTTGCCCCTACATTGTGGTTGTGGCGTGGCCTAACCTGAAAATGACCCAACTAAACTAACGTTCGTCTGATCATGACGTCCAGGATCTGAATTAATCAAAAGGTCCAATTCCCCAAGAACACACGGCCACTATTCATATTCAGAGCAAAGATACAGATATTTGCAGAGACTCACACAGTCGCTTAAAAATATACCCTACGGATCTTGTCGCAAACAAGAAGAAGCACTTGCACATTGGAATAGCCAAGGGATTCAGCTATTTTACTCATAATCAATCCAACAAATTCGCTTTCTTTTTATCACACTCTTAATACTCTCGCATATGAAATTTACTCCACAAAAATATGAAATATATGTATCCATCTCTCCCTCAAATATACACTTCGGATCATCTCTCTTTCTATGTATTTCCTTACTTACTACTCCTTTAACCACCAATTCATGTAATGTAGTTTCGAGCTGATAACCAGCCGTCGTCGTCCATGCTGCTCAGTTCAGTTCAGTCACAGAGCTCCTCCAATGCGTCGGCGAAGCAGGAGCTGAAGCGCGCCATCTCGGCCTCCGGCAGCACGACGCCGATCTCCACCCCGGCGGCGTGCGCGTCGGCGTCGCGGCCCTCGGCCAGGGAGACCGTGCCGGGCGTCTTGTCGATGGACACCAACTCCACCTTGGCCGGCCGGCCCAGCCCGAAGTCGGTCTCGTACACGCCGTACCGCGGGGACCCGCCCAACGACATCGGCCGCTCCGGGACCAGAGACAGGATCTTGTGGAACCACCCGCCGGCGCCGTCCAGCACACCGCCGTCGAGCCCCGCGACGGACGCGCCGATCGCCGCGGCCGCTGCTGCCACGCCGTCGCCGCCATGCAGCTCGGCCGCGCCCACCTCCACGAAGCACGGCCGGAGGCAGTTGCCCAGGTACTCCTGCGGGATTGGCGGCGCCAGGCGGCGACGGCACTCCACCGAGAACAGCAGGTGCGCGCGGGGCCGCTCCTCCCCGCCGCCGCCGCCGCCCGCGCGCGCCAGGCAGGCCCACGCCAGCGCGCACGCCACCGTGAACGCCGAGCAGTGGACGCGCCCCGTGCCGCCGTCCGCGCCCGCCGCGACCATCGCGGCCACGCGCCGCTTCAGTCCGTCGATGCGGTCGCGGGTGAGCGCGAACGACGCGATGACCAGCTTCGGCGGCGGGCCTGTCGGCGCCGGCGGAGGTGGAGGTGGGCCGTTGGCCGGGAGCTGGCGCATTTCGTCGAGCGTCCTGGCGGCGAGGCCCTCGGGGTCGGCGACCACACCACGGTCCAAGAAAGGCGGCGGCGGCGGCGGGACCGGCACCGCGTCCGCGCCGCTGATGGCCTCCCGGCACCGGGCGGCCCAGGTCTTGACGAAGTGCATGTAGCTGGAGTCGTCGCAGGCCACGTGGTGGATGGAGACGCCGACGGCGACCCCGCGGGCGGGGAACACCGTGACCTGCGCCGCCGCGAGGGCGAAGGACCCGTCGGCCTCCGGCCGTGGGAGCTGCGGCACCAGCGCGTACAGCCGGGCGACGTCCCTCGGGCCGCCGCCGGAGAGCTCGTCGAAGTTGTCGGAGCTCTCGGCGACGGTGAGCTCGACGGCCTCGCCGCCGTCCGCGGAGCAGAAGAACTCGTACCCGCCGTCGCCGCCGTCCGGGCACGGCCGGACGCGGCCGAGCAGCGGGTAGAACGCGTGCAGCGTGGCGGAGAGGGAGGAGACGAGGGACGGCAGGAGGTGGGCGGCGAAGAAGTGCTCCGCCGTGTGCGCGTAGGGGTAGAAGAAGACCCGCTCCACGGGGCCCGTGAAGAGCCAGGGCACGTCGAAGAAGGTGAGCGGGAGCGTGCCGCCGGGCGCCGGAGGTGAAGCCCCCACCTTGAGCCTGTCAATAACCTTGGTGGCGGCGGCCATGGGGAACTGGAGATGCGGCCCCCTCTCCCGTGCTTGGAGCTGGAGCCGCACCGCAGCAGGGAGAGAGGAGAGGGAGGAGGTGGTGAGCAGATCAGAATGGTGTCCGATTCAGATCCACCAAACACAAGCAAGCACTAGAAAGAAGACGACCTGCTGCTGTCGGTGGGATGGAAATGTCACCAAACAAAACGTGTCCCTCTCGTCTCGTCTACCACTGCTGTCTGCTGCTTCGCTTCTCTTGAGGAAGAAAGAAGGAATGATACAGGCAGAAAGACACTGTCAATGGCAGACTGACAATTTCTGCTGCAGTAAACAGTAGCCAATCTCCTGCACAAGCACAGAGAATAAAACTGACAGGCACAGGCAAAAAGGTGTCTGCTGAATTACAGCAGTGAAAAGCAGAGAGCAAGCTGATGACAGCAGGGAAACCTGTGTTCAGACTTCAGAGAATTAACCTGGTGACAGCCCAGTGAGGCAGTGAATGGAAGTGAAAAAAGGCAGTAACTTTGAAAAACCATAGTGCAGTCACACTACAATCAGACCAGACCTAAGAGCCGGCCCTGCTCATTTGCTGAAATTTAGTTTCTGCTAATGTTTATGATGATTGGGTGTGAGAGAAAAACACTGTTCGATCGCTGAAAACTACTGCTGAAATAGTACTGAACTGAAAACTACTGCTCCGTGCGGTAGTAACAAATAAATCCAGTATTTGAGCACTAGGTAACGAGGCAGCTGCAGTGTTGATCTGAACAGATGGGGTGGGTGTCGCCGGTCGCCCTTGTGTCTCTGTCAAACAGCCAAACAGTCAAAAATTCTGTTAAGCATCTCTGTTCTCTGGCTTATGATTTTGAAGCTGCATGTCCTTTCAGCCACCCACTTGGTTAACATTATGCTGCAGGTACTGTGCGCATCCGTGCTCCAATAAGGCCCGGAATCTACAGAACAGAAGAGCAGGGAAATTGTGGAAGAGTCAGCTCTCTGATTGAAAAAAGGCTTTGTCTTTGTCAATATGTGTCGGCGCCATGTGCTTACCATCACACAAGATGTCTTTGGCTCTGGAGGTCCTCACTTTGATTCTCTCAAGTCTCACCTGGACCCTGTACATGATCCCAAATTTTTATATAAAAGACAGGGATGCAGAGCTTTATCATCCTATAATCACATAATTAACTGAAGGTTAGACCTTGGAAATATATCCTGGACCTGAATGCACGCAGAAATCGTGTAAGTAAAGACCGCTCCAACCTTAATATATCCAGTAAGGACCAGCGTTGTGGTTGGAGCAATCCGAAAGGGGAAAACTTTGCTCCAAATGTAGTAGTAGCAGTTGTTGCTATGGCCTTCAGAAACGATGGACGCTTGACTGTACCAGAATGTGTTGGTAGACAGCATGGAAGGAAAGTTGCTGTGATGAGAAGGCATGAACAACCATACAGACGCTCACCAACCCAACTGAATGGAGCCTCTCTGGTATCAACTGAAAGGTCACAAAAGTATCTAAAGTCTGTCAGGAAATTATGAGCTTTCAGGTTCATAGAGAGCCAAGGACTGATCTTAAGCAAAGGCGTGCCGAGGTGATTGGGAAGAAACACTTGGAAGTGCTACTGAAATCAAAGGGTGTACCTCAAAAGGAAAATATGCAGGCAGTGATTGATCATGACCACTTAATGGAAAATTATTCAGACATTCATATCCTTATAAAAAAGTTAGTAGCATCAGAATGGCAAAAACAAATGGCAGTAGTTGACACAATAAGCATATAACATCAAAATACTACAGTATTTTTTCATGAGCAATTTGCTGGACATACAAAAGGCAGAGCACATAAGCCACATTTGAGGCATAGAATCCGAATTACCAGGATGCAAATCAGTCAATCACAGTGGAGTATGACTGGCAATGACATTATCTCTTACATTGCCCAGGGACTAAATCACAGAACCCATGTGATCCAAGCTCACCGAAAATAGCTATATGAGCAGCACAGAAGCAGTTCGTTAACACCACAAAGCAGATTCGAATTCTTTTGGCATATTATATCATTCTACTAACCAGCTTTTTAACCAAAAAATAGCAATAACAACAATTACCTATTATATATTAAAATCTTGATCCATGAAAGAAATGGACACCTTTAGATTGAAAACGAAAAGGTTCTGTTTTTAGCGTTTTTCCTTATGATATGACTGGAAGTGGACCACAACTAGAAGCACAAGAAGAATCGACAAGGTTAGCTCCTAGACTGAAACTAAGCTGGCATATATCCAAATTTCTCCAATCACTATTAGATGAAAAGCTGTGGAGCCAAACAGCAAGCACAAAAATTATGAAAGGTTCGCTCCTAGAAAGACTGAAACTGACCTGACACAAGTTCATATCCCTCCCAGCACTACAAAATAAGAAACATTTATGCAGTGGCATCTAACTGAGATCAAAATATTCAAAACCTCGGGTACGTATATTTGCTCTTGTGACACTTAGGCCTAGTTTGGAAGCTAGGGCCAGATTAGCCCGGGGTACAGACGCCCGGAGGGGGATTTTAGCGGCCATTCGATTCCCAGGGCGTCGCACCCCTGTCCCCTGTCTGCGTTTGGAACAGTGATGCAAGCGGGGGTGGGGCGGCCTGCGGCAGTGTCCTGCTGACTGCCAGGCTTTGTGGTTAACAACCAAGCAGGTTGCGGACACCTACGGTAGTTTTTATTTTTCAAAGGCAAACAGAACAGTGACTAGCCGAAACTTGCAACGCAATACAAAACACCTAGAACTATGCCTACACGTCAAAAAAATATCCCAAAACTTGTACAAAAATCCTAACAAAAATAAAAGCAAGTATTTGAGGAATATTTTGCAGAAGATAGATCAGCCTACATTACAATCTCATAGCAAAACTATTAATGCATCTGATATTAGTTCTGTCACTTCCAAAAGATAAGTACTGTCTCAATCCAAAACACTGAAGACATTGTTTGGACAGTTAGGGCCAGGTTGCTTATATGTACAACAGTCATTCGAGGTACTCGCTTGACACCAACTAAAGGTCTCTGTGTCCACCACATAATTGGTCATCGACATAGTTGCAGAAGTCCTTCCTACAAGAAAGCAATGTTATTGTGAATAAAAGTCGATGATAAGAAGCCTAATTATCCTTAATCACCTGCTGCCACAACAACATCCTAGCAGAGATCCTAAAACAACATAATATGACACTTTGTTTTTTCAGGAAAGCCCCATTATCCAGACTCCGCAGCAAAATCTTGAGCTTAATGGATCACTGACTTGAGTGCCGGAAGACATTACTGGAGGCATCACAATACCCCTGTAACACCAATTTATTAGCGCATCTCTTAGGTTAACTAATTCAGGAGACTGAAACCGTTAATAATATGTGCACTAACTCCATTGTTGGGGAAAAAAAGAACCCCATGGAGATACTATGCCAGCAACCTAATTTGAAGGAATATCTTTCTCCTTACTAGTTGCACTCAAAGATCTAAACTGAAGCACTCTAATCCTAGCTAAAACAGGCATGGTCTGGTTCTCATCTACTGTTATATTCACACATGTAAATAAGATAATAATGTATCTGAAACTGAACCTAATTCAGAATACTCAACAGTCTAGATGTGACTGAAGCCTACATGTTTTTCTATGATCTATGATAATTAATACTAACTTTATCAAATTCCCATGTGTGCACAACTAGAATCATGTTTACACTTGACATGTGCTCCAACCTTGCTAATGCAAGATCTCATTCCGCTTGTTGATGTGACTGCAAAGGTTGTAAAAGAGCACGATGCGTGGTGAACAAAAATCAAAGCATCAATCTCTATGCAAGACAAGACTTGGATGATGCCTCGCGCTATGCAAAATCAGGGATTAAGATTGCCAATCAAATTACTGGATATCTTCTCCATGCAATCTACGACTCTAGAGATTTGAAGCTCTACACTATGGCAAACCCAATCAGAATAGAGCTTTTAGTTCTACACATCTACATTTTTCAGAAGACTAATCATCAAGAGATTGCAGAGGTATGTGTCTCTTGCCAATTTATCCATCCTAGAAATATAACTACCAATCCATTCAGATTCACAAGAGGTGAATTTCCTTACCAACCCTAGAACCCAATCAGAAAGAGGGGCCCCTTACCAACAAAAGAAGACAACAATCCAATCCCAGATGGATCTCCACTCTGGTCCAACTTGTCACGAGAGGAAGAGAGGTGGAGTTGCTGCACAAAAATGCACAAGATTGTATGATGTTGCGGCACAAGAATTGTCACAAGGAAAGTGACAATTACTGCATTTGTTTGAAAAAAAAGAGAAGCTGAAGCTTGCAGTAAATTAAGTAATCTATGAGAACTTCAGTATATCTTCTTGTATAATTAGAAACAGCCTGAGGATTTTTTTTTTTTGCCCAAACGATGACTAGAAACAAGAAACACGCAATCTAAATAACTTGCAAAAGTTCATGCCTTGGCTAGAAACATAAACACAAGAAGCCAATGGAGCACACCTGCACACGACACAAGGCTAGTGAACCTGTGAATAAACAATCTAACGAACCTTTCATCAACTGGGATGGGAGATCACAGATCATGACAACAATCACTATTTCCAGGGTAATGACCTTTATTGCAGAATTAACTCAAACACTATGGAAGTTCCAGGCCTCAGCATGAGCTGCATCTATCACGTCAGAGAGAAGGTACCAGTAGTGCGAGGCACGCTTACCAATTCACCGCCCGCTTGCCTACGCCTCAGCAATGTCAGGTGAAATTATCACTTGACTGGATCTTGGGATGAAGGTCTTCGTCAAGATCTGCAAGAATCAAGAGGCCTAGAAAACTTAGGCAATAGGAGAAGGGGGCAGGAGTCAATCACAATGGATGCGGAGAAGGGGGCCGAGGTGGAGGCGCCGTCGAAGCGCGAGACATCGTGCGGCGTCGCAGTCACGACTCGTGATGGCGGAGCGTGGTAGTGCCGAGACGGGGAGGT